GTAGAAAATCGGTTGAGATGGTTTGGGCATGTACAAAGAAGACCAAGGGAGGCACCAGTGAGAAGAGTGGAACATATAACTTTGAGTCCGATTAAGAGAGGTAGAGGAAGGCCTAAGAGAACACTCTTGGAAGTTGTTGAACGTGATCTCTTAATTAATAATATTTCTAAAAGCTTAATAAATGATAGAGCACAATGGCGTCTTGCAATCCATGTAGCCGACCCCACCTAGTGGGATAAAGGCTTGTTGTTGTTGTTGTTGTTGTTAAGTTTGATGATGTTATGATGATTGATGCCCGTCAGGGCTTTGAAGTTATTTTTATGAGTTGAACGAGGTTTTTAACGCATGCATTTAAAAATTACCAGTCATAGTTTGACTTGGGAAAGTTATATTTTAAGTGTAGAAATATTTGTCGTTATAATTTAAATGTATTTTTTTCTGTTTTTTCATTGCTTCTGATTTCTGCGTTTCTCTCCTGTTTATCTTATCTGTAATATTCGCTCTTTATTTTTTAATATGGCTAAAAGGATTATTTGGTGTTACTGGTGGTGTTAAATATATTAACTTGTATCTTAATGCTGTTAATTTTTGTGTTAAGTTGAATTACTATTTGACAAATTGAAACATGAAATAGTTACTGAGACATAAATTAACTGTGTTAGTTCGAAGGAAACATATTTAACACTAATTAACTGTGTTAGTTCGAGGGAAACATATTTAACACTGTTAATTCGAGCTTATCTTACTTTAGGCATGTTAATTAATGATAATATTGCAAAGGGGGGAGAACTTGTTCCAATTAAAAAAAAAAAAAGGCTATGAACGCTTATAACAAAAAAACTACAAGGATTTATAACAGAACATGTTAAAATTATAGGTATCAATATTTATATTTTCTCCTAGAAATATAAGAACATAAATTTATCTAATTAAATGTGTTGCCGGCAAACCCACAATTGTGTGACCGTTAGTTTTTCATTAGTGTAACAATAATATAACATTTCAGCCTTGAACTCAATAGTCTAATTATTAGTGTCTTACCATGGAGATCAACTCGCCAATGCGATCATTATTCTCAATCATTTGTTATCATTTCTATATTCAACTGAAACTGTTGCTGTTCTGGACTTGATCATATATTTTGATCATTGTTGTCAAAATTGAATAGGACGAAGTGGAAAATCAACAAACCAGTGCCTAGTGCATAGCAACAAGACTAGTGATAAATAAGTGAAAATTGGCAAAAACAATGCCCTGTTCAATTAGTAAAGAATTGTACCGACTTAATTGAAGGTAATGAATTCAAGTCTTCGAATGCTGTAGTATTGGTAATAGAGTTTTTGCCGCAAAAGGTTTCATCTTAATTCAATTCAAATTAATCTATGCCTCCATTATTTTCCATCAACTTAATGTTGGGTAGGTTCATGATACCGAATTCTTCACAAAAAAATTGGATTAGTTTATTGTTGAGATAGTTTAACATTTTTTTAATGAAAAAAGCGGCTGTTTAGACTCTACCATAGAGAAGATCTACCCTAAATGTGAAGAAGGATAAGAGCAACGTCTTAAAAATGGTATTAATTCGTTACATGATTAATCGAGGTTTGAATAAGAAGACATCTATGTCCATTCCATATATTGTAGATGCACATTTGAATAAGAGCACATCCATAAGCAAAAGCAAAAGGAGAAAAAAAAGAGCAATGCCAAGAAGAGAGAGAGTGAGAGAGAGAAGGAAGATCACATAAGGAGACAAGAAAAGAACATACTAGTAAAACTATAAGTTTAAGGTTCAATCTTCCATGATTTAACTATAGTTAAACTTGTTTAGATTAAATTAATATATGTTTAGATTTAGATTGATTATTTAATATAAAGAAATATATAATAGCAAAAACAACTTTAAATCAACTCGCACGTATACTCAATAAATATTTATTCATTAAAATTACTAATACAATTATGGAACAAGTACATATTATGTGCACCGGAATCCATGTGATATTATCCACTTATAATTACAATCATATTAACAATATTATTACTCTTCCAACCCCCTTACCAAACATAAACATTAAAATTATTATCATATTAGGAGTACTTTCCTAGAAAATAAATAAATAAATAAATAACAATGTAGTCCCAAATTCACTAATATTGACAAAAAGGGGTTGAAAATGAAGAAAAAGAAGTCAAGAATTGCATCAAACCAGACCATATGTAATGCGTAGAACTGAAAACTTAATCATTTTGCCAATTGAATACTTACACTTAGCTCTCAGATGAGAGATTAAAAGAGAGAGAAATTCAATATAGATAGTCCCATTGATCCAAAGTCACGGCGTTACTGCTTATTCTAACTATCCTACCAGCAAAAATCTGTTAACTCATATCCAATGCTGAGTAAAAGTTCCTGGTTGCAGTATCATGCACTTAAAATCCGCACATTCGGAACCTACATGTTAGGTTGTCAAAACCTGGCCATTGTATATAAGTGCACAACATAACACAGGAATTTATTATGCTTCAAGTCACAATGTCCTGAAATCGATTCATCATGAGTCATCATCGTCTACATTCTGTGGGGTCAACCTCGCCAGCAGTTCCTTATTTTGACAGTGCTCTGCATCAATGAAGTAAAACCTCCCATTGCCTTGAATGTGACAAAAGGCCTATTGGTTTGTGGAGGCCAGATATCAGCAAACCTAATAAACCACGGAGTATATTCTGCTAGCCAAGACATCATCTCCACCTCAAAACTATCTGGACCAGGTTGCCACCTCAGTTTGTGTATGTAAGGGCTAACAAACCAGTGCAGGGCAGCAGTTGTAGAAGCACTGAAGAATATGACAGTTGACGCAACCATGCCCTTTAGGATGACAGTTGTTTCAGGGTATGTCATGAAAGTTATCACAGGGCCGAGCGACACTGAGAGGCAGCAAGTTGAGAGAGAGAGAGAAGCTTAACTTTCTTGATGGTGGTTGAGATAGGACCATGATAAACAACTCTAGTTTCCTTGTCATTTTCCTCATATTCAGAATGTTCATCTCTCTGACGTCCAATGATGATCTTGTTGTCTTCCTGTAGTGGCAGCTCGAGAGGCCCACCTCCTCTGGGCAGCAGCAAGCAAGGAGGAAGATTTGGAAGTAGGATTAGCACTAATTGGGTGCAGACATGTCCGGCACCTTGTACAATGATGGCCTGAAGCATGGAAACAAATGTACAAAAAAAAAAAAAGAATCAATAACAATGATGCTTCCAAGAAAACAGACCTGTACAAATCCCAAAAGGGTTAGTTCAGTTGGTAAGAGGAGATAACAGTAAAAGACATCAAGGCACTGAACTCAAAAGGAGCAGCACATAAATACAGGAACTAAAAAATTGTCAAGTTGGATAAAAAAAACAAATAAATTCCAGAACATATAATTCATAGTGGAAGGAGTATGTAACTATGTATATGTAATGTAGGGTGTCACTAGATCCCAAATATGCAATGAAGAAATATTTTCAAACATGGAAGGAGCAATCTAGGACAAATAAACTTGAGAAAGAAGTTGCCAGGTTACAAGTACCTAACATAAATTTAGTCTTAAAGAAGATGCCTAAATCCTAAGATTTGATGGCTGAAAGGTCCTGTATGTGTTTTTTTAAGTATTGGCACATGTCAAAAATTCACATCAAAGATTCGGAATGCATGAAGAACTACTATGTCAAGGTATTGACAACAAACTTCATGTCCAGTGCAGCAACTTGATCAACTACACATAGATGAATCAGCTGAACTAGGAGTTCATGTTTTGGAAACTGATGATTGAACGCAACTTTCACTCCAGCTGATGCGTGTTAAGAATCCTCTAACCTGATAACCACTAGTGTCACTTGCCTTTGGTTCTTCAGAGTCAAAGCCCTTCAACCAATAATAAAATTTTGTAATTCATCTTTCCTTCTATTACTGGCATCATAGCGTAAGCTTCGATTGCATCATAGAATTTTTGTATGAAGAAACTAAGGTTAAGCATAGTTAGGAGTCCTTGAACTAATATAATAGTACTGCATTGCACCCACTTGGCTATCAGTAGAAGATGGACTAGTCCATCACAGTCATGCACCTTAATAATAATAATAATAATAATAATAATAATAATAATAAAAGGAAATCCCAAAATATTTCCAGTTGAAGGGGAATTACGAAAAATCCCCATCTCTTAGCGGCAGATAGAATATACATCAAATCAACACTATCCACAGATGAAAGATGGAAACTGAAACCCTAAATCTCTAGCCAAAGGCCATCATGCTTGCTGCAACATTAGAATAAATCATGCAACATTAAACGATCTGCTGGTTTAACCATAATTCACACACACCAACTCTAAAGCATCTTTCAGTATCTAACACCAGAGTTTTTTTAACAGAATTCATGGGAAAACTATTGCTTCAAAAGTTAAAAGGGAAAGCAACTAGCGTCATTGTCTGGTTCCAAACATTGGTCTTGTTTGTCATCAAGTTGATGTTGATCATAATTACAAGAAAATAATATAATAAAAAAAATTAAAATTACAAAAAAAAGACAACATCCCAAATCTCACTGACCGCCCCCTTATATCCTGAACCCAAACGAATTTTCAATGTTGACTTTAAAATTTGAATGCTAACTATCTACGGAATTCTTTATAATATCATTAGAAAAGAGGATCCACAAATAGCTATTGCAAGGTCCAAAGAGGATTAAAGTTCAGAACTTTTTCGTATGAGCAAATAAGCGAGACATCAAATTGATTAAGAACTGAACATAAGCAGTTTCCCATCTCAGCCAGGAAGGGAAGTGAAGAAGAAGGATAAACGAAGAAAACCTGAGAGGAAGTTCCTGGAAGAATTGTGTCTGGTCTGTGATCGCACCAAATTCAGCACAGAGACTCGTGCCAATGCCATGTTGTCGAGCAAGACTCTGCGCGACGAATGCGTTTGGAAGTCTTAGTCAAAGAAACTCGCAGTACATTGGGCATTTGGTCTAGTGGAATGATTCTCGCTTAGGGTGCGAGAGGTCCCGAGTTCAATTCTCGGAATGCCCCCACATTTTGCTCTGTTCACTTCGCTCATCTTAAGAAAGAGGAATACTTTGATCTCTTCAATTTGTTCGTGTATTTAACTCTCTATGCAAAGCCACATCGGAATTTGATCATGCTTTTGTGGTAGTTAACAAAAACGCTAATTCGCTCGCTCACAAGGTGTTATACAAACTTTTTGGTAGCAATGGACGATCCACCTTTGGATTATAATGTGACATCAATTTTTTCTTATGCTCTCTAGCCTTCAATTAAAAAAAAAAAACGAAACGAATGGGCACATCTTTTTTAGCATAGGTATCCTCTAATATAATAATATTAAAAATACAATATTAGATTTTAAATATGAATATTTCTCATCACAAATTAAAATTCTAATCTATAATGTTATGAGACACATGACTCCACAAAATCCAACTTCCATGAACTACATGAATAGAATAGAATGGTTGAATATTGAATGTTATAAATATTAAAATATTTTATAGATGTCAATCATGTAATCATATCTTTTAATATCTCCATTATTCTATGATATATCCTATTGTTATCAATCTGTATATTTTGTATGAGATTGAATTGCATATACATCTAAGTCGTATTCTATACCCTAAAATAAGAAAACTCTGACTGCTCTCATTTTTCTATTGTCAACTTAGGTTTCTCTCTTCTTATCTCAATCAAGAATAGAACATTTCTATTTTTAACAGGAAAACACACCCGAAAATTAGAAGAGATGGTGAGAGGTGAAACTGAGATTGCGATGAGTGGCGAGGAGAAACACAAGAGTGAGAAAACAGGGCTGTTTGGGGGCAATCACGCTGGTGATCGCGGGGGAGGTAAAGAAAGGGACAAGTGTGAGCAGCCATCCAGTTTGGTGTTCTGCAGTGGGGTGGATGAGATTCCTGATAGTGTAAAAGGTAAGGAGAAGGAGAGAAAGGGTTTAGCACGACAACGACAGATTCCTCCGTCATATAAAGACAAGTTGTTATCGTTGAGCGGATTGGGTTTCTTGATGAAGCATGATGAAGAGGAAGATATCGTGCATGGCTGGAAGTCATACTTTATGAAGAAACATAGGGATGCTGAGATCATTAAGGAGAAAGCAAGCATGGTGCAAGAAGAGGAGGGATATGAAGGTGGCATTAGAAAGAAGCCTGTGTTACAGGTTACAGCTGATGAATATGAGAGCTGGTGCCGTCCTTGGATGAACTCTCTGATTGTGAAACTTCTAGGAATGTCAATTTCGAAGCACGTGTTAGAGCAGAGAATGCAGCGAATGTGGAAACCTCAAGGTGCCATGAAGGTCACTCCTCTAGACAATAGGTATCACATCGTATCATTCACAAATAAAGAAGACAGGGACTATGCTTTCCAAGAAGGCCCATAGATGATTAATGATCACTATTTACTCGTGCAAAGGTGGAGACCGAACTTCAACCCTTGAAAGGCAGACGCGCAAAGGAAAATAGTAGTGTGGATTCTATACCAGACCTGTCGATCGAGTTTTATAATGTGGAGTCCTTATGGAGGATTGGGAATATGATAAGGAAGACTCTCAGGATTGATCTTTCAACCTCTATTTATGATAAAGGGGGTTTTGCTCGAATATGCATTGAGATAGATCTCCAGCAACCTTTGCTCTCAGTCTTTGAAGCTTTTGGTGAAGATCGTCTGATAGTTTATGAGGTTTTACATTTGGTTTGCTATAGATGTGGGAAATATGGGCATCAATGCAAGGAATGTCCTTTAGAGAAAGAACCAATGGAGAGGAAACAGAAACCAGAAACGGTAGAACCAGGCGGTCTGACCAAAAATGACGAGTAAAGTCAAGCTACGCCGCCGGAAACAGGATCACGAATAATTTCGACAATGGAAACCAAGTCAACGATAGCGGAGGGAGACGTTTTCTGTCCTAGGAATCTATTACAGCGAGATTTACGTAAGAAGTTAAATAAAATAGATTCAAGGGGATCTGATAGAGGAAGTACCGTGAGGAATCAACATAATGCGAATAAATTAGGTGGTCAAATATTACAAGGATCTCGTGGCAAAAATCAAGGGAGAATAAATGAAGACAGGGGTGATGGAGAGAAGGAACAAAGGTCACGTGCCTTTGGCAAAGAGGCTAATGGAGTGGAAAGTGCTTGGGTTCCAGTGGGCTCTAAACGAAAAGGAGATACTAGATTCAAACTAAAAGGGCAAGAGAATAAAGGGATTGTGCCTAGAAGAATTTCTGTGGGCTCACCTTCAAAATTTGTGGGCTCAAAAAATTTGTTCAATATCCTTCAATCTAATGAGTGTGAGGTCCTCGCAGGGAATATGGACTTGGGCTTACTAGATTTAGATAAGGGGATGGAAGAAGCCTGTGACTCTTAGAATGGTAAAGAAATGGTGATAGAGGCTGGGATACATGCAAACGTAGTTCTATCAGATGAAAACATACAAGACAAAGACAAAATAAAGAACACCGGAATGGAGATTGAGAAGGGGCAAGCACTCCTTGATATGGTAGTTTTCCCATGAATTTTCTAATATGAAATTCTTATGGTACGGGGTCAAAGTCATTTCCGAGCCTCGTACGAGAAATAAAATCCCATTATAGAATAAATTTTTTAGCTTTATTGGAAACTCGGTATAGTGGTTCAAAAGCTACTAATTTAATAAAAAAGCTTCATTTTCTAAATTTTGAGTGGATCGATGCTGAAGGGTACAGTGGTAGGATATGGTGTTAATAGGATAATTGCATCAATAAGGTGACTGTGCTGGAAAGGCATAGACAATATATGCACCTGCTTATTGAAGTTGGTGTTAATGAGGAATGGTTCTTTACTGTTGTTTATGCAAGCCCAAATGGTGTTGCCCGTAAATGTCTTTGGAGAGAGTTGAGCAGATTAAGGCCTTTTAGCATGGGTAGTGGGTGGAGATTTTAATGCCACGCTCCTTAATAATGAACGTTGTTCTCTTGCTGTGTCAAAAACCCCTTGTGATAGAGATTTTATCTAGTGGGTGGATGAGGCTCAATGTTTTGATATGGGGTTCACCAGGCCAAAATTCACTTGGAAACGTGGCAGTTTCGAAGCACGCTTGGATAGATACTTAATGTATGAGGTATGGCAGATCTTATTTCTGAATGCCTTGGTGGTCCATCTATCAAACTTTAAATCTGATCATCGATCGATTCTCTTGCACACTAAGAGTGATGCAATTTAGCAGCCTCAAGATCGTCCTTTTCGGTTTATTGCTCCTTAGGTCCTTCACGAAAATTTTAAAGATTTGGTAAAGCAGAACTAGATGATGAATGAAGATTGGTTAGGTAATGTGGTGTAATTCACAAAGGCTTGCAAGCAATGGAATAAAACTATCTTTGGCCATACTGAATTTAGGAAGCGGAGATTGTTGAGACGTTTAGATGGAGTGAACTCTGCAATAGGCCGAGGGCATAATATCAAACATTATGAAACTCTCCAATTCTAGCTATAGAAGGAACTGGAAGATGTTATAGTGCAAGATTCTTTACTGTGGGCTCAAAAAGCTTGATTGAAATAGAATGTGCTTGGAGATCAGAACACTCGTGCTTTCCACGCCTATGCAAATCATCGGAGGAAAATCAACCATATCCAAGCTCTAAAAGGTGAAGAAGGAGATTGGTGCTATGATGTGAATATCATCAAACAAACAGTCACTAAGTTTTTCTCTAGTCTTTTTATGGAAGAACATCAAGATTGGTATCCATTGGCTTGTGATATCTCTTTCCCAAAAATTGATGAAGATGTGTTGTAGCTATGTGCAAGTACTGTGACAGATGAAGAGATAAAGGATGCGGTGTTCGATATGGGACCTCTTAAATCTCCAGGCCTTAATGGCTTAAATGCTCTATTCTTTCAACACCAGTGGGAGCAAATTGGTAAATTTGTTATCGATTTTGTGAAGTTAATTTTTCATGATCCCAGACCCAGAGTTATTAGTGAAGTGAATGATATTTTTATTGTGCTGATCCCTAAGAAAGAGCCTCCTGAATCCGTGAGGGATTTGAGACCTATTAGTTTGTGTAATGTTATTTACAAGGTGGTGACAAAAATCCTTTCTAAGAGACTGAGATCTATTTTATCACAAGTGATTTTACCAAATCAGTGCAGCTTTGTTCCGGGTCACCATAGCTCAGATAATATCATCGTGGCCCAAGAGGTGATTCATTCTATGAGGAATATTGGGGGTAAGAAAGGATTTATGGCTATTAAAATTGATCTCGAGAAAGCTTATGATAGAGTTAATTGGAAGTTTGCTATCAATTGTCTCCAGGAATTACAACTACTTACTTGGATGACTCAAGTGATTTATGCGTGCCTGTCTACATCTAATATGTAAATTCTTTGGAATGGTAGTAAAGCAAATTGTTTCCATCATTCTAGGGGAGTCAGGCAAGGCGACCTTATGTCACCCTATTTATTTGTGATTTGCATGGAGAAATTGGCTCATCTTATACAAATGCGATTGAACTCAGGAGAGTGGAGGCCTATTCATCTTAACAAAGGTGGACCACCTATTTCTCATCTTTTTTTTACAGATGATATAATTCTTTTTGCTGAGGCTAGTGTACAGTAGACTTTGCTCCTCAAGTCTTGTCTTGAAAGTTTCTGTGAAGCTTCAGGGTTGAAGGTCAATCCCTCAAGAACAAGAGTTTTCTTTTCAAATAATGTTAACCATACCAGGTGCAATGAGATTTGCTCTGTTCTAAACTTTCAACAAACAGCAGATCTCGGTAAATACTTAGGAGTCCCACTCCACCATAAAAGAGTAAACAAGGAAATATTCCTTGAGACAGTTGATAAAGTAAAGAATAGATTATTGAAGTAGAAAGTCAACTCGTTCTCTTTTGCGGGCAGAACAACGCTTGTCTCTACTGTTACATCTGCTATTTCGAGTCATGTGATGCAAACCTCCTTACTACCGGTGAGTACTTGCAATTCTCTGGATAAATGTAATCGAGATTTTATATGGGGGAGTTATAGGGAACAACGCAAGACATATCTTGTTACTTGGGATGAGGTATGTAAGACCAAGAAACGAGGTGGGTTAAGGCTCCCGCACACTTGTGCACAGAATTTAGCTCTCCTTATGAAGGTAGGATGGGGGCTTACTTAGAGGAGAGATGATTTTTGGGTTAAAGTTGTTAGAGAGAAGTATCACTGTAGGAATGATCTGATCCCTAACATTGACAGGAAACGTCTAGGCTCTAATACGTGGGCTGGTATTAAGGCAACTTGGCCGAAGGTACAGGAAGGTCTGGAGATTTGTAACAACACAAACGTGAGGTGGAGGTGGGAGAAGAATGGCCTATTTTCTGTCAAGTCTGCTTATGATAGAGTAGTAAGAGGTGGTAGTGTGAATGAGGGTATTTGGGACAAGATTTAGAATTTAAAGGTTCCACACCGGTGTAGATCATTCATGTGGCTGGCCTATAAGAAGAGTCTTCTTACTAACTCTTCTAGAAAGCATCGTGGTTTATGTTCAGAGGATACATGTGCCTTGTGTAAGAATGAGGTTGAAGATATTCTTCATGTCTTAATGACTGTGAGCAAACCAAAGCTAGCAAACCAAAGCTATGTGGAAGAAATTTGTTAAACCTATAATGTGGAGAAAGTTTTCGACTTTGACATTACAAGAGTGGATCAAGTTTAATATCCCATCATAAGTTGGTTCAGGGTCCTTGAATTGGCGTGAGCTCTTTACTAGTCTCTGTTGGTGGTTGTGGAAACGTAGGAACCTCATCATCTTTGAGAATGTCAATGTTAGGCTTAATCAAGTTAGTATTCGAGCAAGTACTATGGCCGAGAGCCTTATGGAATCCTTCCAGAAAACTAGGATACTGACTAACTATAAAAATATTGGCCATGTTAATGATAGCAATTACAGGATGCCACCTAAGGATGACTGGGTTAAGTTGAATGTCAATGGGGCATATACTCTAGTTGGGAGGAGTACAGCGTGTGGTGGTCTAATTCAAAACCATCTGGGAGAATTTGTCATGGGCTTCATATACATAATGGAGGAAGGAGATAGTCTCTTGACAGAGGTTTGGGCGTGCTTACATGGCTTGAAGATGGCGTGGGATAATGGAAATAGAAAGGTTATTATAAAGACAGATTCTACCGATGTGTTGGCTCTTATTCGACAAAATATTAATATGGAGCATTAGGAATACACTGCTATTATGGAGATAAAATGATTGCTGTCCAGAGAGTAGGTAGTCCAAGTCAGCCACGTAGCACGTGAATGCAACCAAGTAGCTGACTAGCTTACAAAGAAGGGCCTCTCTGTCTTATCTGGTTTTCATGCTATTCGTTACTTACCTGTTGATCTTGCTACAATTATTGATAGGGATAAAGGCTATAGGCCTTCTATGTTCACCAGAATATAATTTTCTGGTTTTCCTTGTTTATAAAAAAAAAAAATAGAACATTTCTATTCTTGATATCTCTGTTTTTTTCAATTTACGTTGCTAATCATTATTATTTTGATATTAAAATCAAAAATAAAAAATTAAATCTAAGTCAATAAAATTTAAATCTTTCTCAGAAACTCCCTCTATAAAATGCTTTCCAAAAAGTTGGTTGAAGCCTAGTTTAATGCCAAATGTCAAATGATATTATATGTTTAGTACTAGCAATACAGTAACTTTTGTTTCTCATTTAAGTTGGAAGGAGTGGCTAAAAACAAAAAATTAATCATTTGATATTTGTAATTTTAACTTAGTTATAATTTAATTTTTAAATTTTTACTATGATATAAATCAATTCTTGAACTCTACCGCTTATAATTTAGTTTTTGAAATTTCATCCTCTTAAACATTAGTCTCTATATTTTAAAAAATAAAATTATAAAAATTTTAAAAATTTTAAAATTTATTATTAATATTTTAAATTATTAAACCCTTTTAATCTTTATAAAAATTAAAATTTTAAAAAAATTAATTTAATTTTTTAAAATATAAGTATTAATATTTAAAAAGTTAAAACTTTAAAAATTAAATTATAAAATATAAAATTTAAAAATTAATTTATAATTAAATTAAAATTTTAAAAATTGAATTATAATAAATTAAAGTTAAAAAATTAAGTTATACATCAATTAAAATTATAAGGAATAAATAATTAATTTGTTCAGTTAAAAATTAAAAAGAAAATTGTCGGCTGCACATTCCTCTCCGAGTAGGTGATCTGCACGCGCCTCCATCCTCAACAGTGCAAAAGTTTGAAGTGTTTTATTTATTTGATATCTCGCAACTTCATCTTCATTCTTTGACGCTCATCGTTCATTCCGGCGGCCATGCACCGGAGGCCATCATAGTAAGATTCTTCGGTACAGCAACTTGAGAAATCGGGAAGAATCAACTGTCTTGCGATAAGGTACTATTTTTGTTTTAAGTCATTGGTGCTTTACTGCGTCTACCTCTTCATTCAATATTGCAAATCCCCTCTGTCTATAGGGATTAGTGCTTGTAAGTAAGTTGCTATTTCCATTTCCTTGTGGACCTTTGTTGGTTGTGACACGTTTTGTTTTTGAGTTTTATCACACACCGGTGAGCATGTTTCTAATTCTGTTCAGGGTGTATTCATAGATTTTGGGAATGCAGTAGTACCTTTACAAGAGAGGAAATTGCGACGTATGAAAAATATATGTTTTGTGCCCTTTTTTCCTTGCTTTTTTGGGCCAACGACCGATATTTGATGCTTAGGACGGAGAGTTGATGCAGTGCTTTGTGTCTATGCGTGCTTTGTAGGCGAGCCTAAATAAGTAAATATCTTCTTTTTTGAAAAAAAAAAATCTTTGAACTTTATGTTAAAAGTATATTGTGGTGAGGAAAATAATGTGAATAGAAATAAGTTGCAGTATATTTCAGCATTTTCAAACAACTCTCCCCATTTTTTTATGTGAGTCTTTAGCTATAAGCTTGAGCTATTGCACTAGAATATCCGTACACCTACGAAGATAATTGAAAAACAACTATGCCAGCAAAAATTTAGGAGTCATTTGTACTCATTGGTTGACCACCCACAATTAAAATTATGGCCCTTTCATAATTTTCCTAGTTGAGTGCTTTCATGATACAAAGTATTGTATACTTTAATTGAAAGAAAATACCTGAAATCTTGACGATTGAGATTCAAGAAAATCTTAATTGTTGCCGAAACAGTCTTGGTTTACCTGTTAACATTATCATCATATCAAATCTGAGAGGATGACAAAAACTATATGGATATCGTAGCATGAGGAAAAGATAGGTGATGGAAGAAGAGCGTGAAACAATGCAGCGTTTAATAAAATTGAGAAGTCATGTTTTAGCAGGAGTAAATTTGGTTGAGGGTAAGTTATTTAAGACATGGTGGATGAGCTTACTTTAGATTTTTTATTTTTTATTTTTTTAATGATCAGACCACATACATACATGCACATGCTGATTAATCAAAAGACCATATACTTACTTGTATGTGTTGACAAGCCATGCTGATTATTACTAAGTCTGAAGCCAAGAATTTGACGGAACCTGTATGTGAAGTTTTGGTGCTTGTTTTTTAGTTTTCCCATGTTATACAGTGACCACAGTACTTGTTAATATTTGATTAGTCACGCCTTTGACCTCAAACTTTTGATGTACAGAATATAGTGAGAGAAATTTTTTTTAAAAAAATGCATTTTTGGTGTATGATGATGCCTCTTCAGTTTTTCCAGAGAGAAAGTTACATATATACATTTTGTACACCTCAAAAAGTAGTGAGATGGAAATATATATTTCCTGAGATCTCCTTGATGATCATGGGCAGGCATCTCTTCATTCCTAAAAAATATTTGAGTTTTTGATTTTCTGATAAAGTTGATTATATTTAATTTCTTTCCAAAATGATGGCTTCCTTAATCATAATTCTTCAAACAAACAAGAAAGAAATGTTTATTGTATATCTTAGCTCATTAGGCTCACAGTTCAATAATGTTCTAGACTTTTTGCCTGCTGGATTTAAGTCTGACAATCTTTAATGTTTCCATTGGTGGAATAAATTTGTTTTGTGGAATTATCTTTTCTGCATGTTGTGGTGTCTACATCCTCATTTTCACTCTTACTCGCTCTCACAGTTATGCAATCTAATACCAGAAGACGATGTCTGTCCTGGATGCATAGTTACGATATCAGCTATCACCTCTAAAAAGTAACAAATTTTTTTATATTACATATGGTGTTCTACCAGATGGAAACAGCTGGTGCGCCAAGTTCAGATGGCAGAAATGATAATCCCAGAAATGATGATGGTTCTGCTGTAGAAGTTGAGGTTTTTAGGCATCGTGTTGACGAGGTGATTTCGAAGGTTGATAAGGTATGTTATAGAAGAGAAAGTATCTTACAATTAGTCTACATTATGCTTATATCTGTTAGATGTCAATATCTTTTTTTTTTATTATTTCTTTTACTTGACAGTCAGTGTGTGTTAGAAATAATAAGTGAAGTTTTTTGATTGTTAGTTTTGGTTGGAAGTGTAACTGAATGAAATTTAATTCCTTTCCTACTCTAGCTGGTATATGCATGAGCCAGATGAGTTGCAGGAGTTGTTGAATCATCAATGAAGTTCTGTTGAAGAATTCTTTTGTCTAGAACCTTATCATGCTCCATAAAACCTATTTTCACCCCTGAAAGTAAAAGTGCATGTTGCAATTCCTTGTACACAATGACTGATGAAAAAATGTGCTACTAGCTGACACTCTGTAGACAACAATCAGAGAAGACTTGTATTTCAATAAAATGTTGTTTTTGTCAGTTCTGTTGTTGAACTGCTTACCAGAAATCTTTCAAGTTAAGTAATGTCTTTTTACAGTTTGAAGTCTTCTCTTGAGCGTGGTTCCTTTTAGAAGGTCACAGGATATGCAAATCAACATAAAATTTAAATCTATAGAGCATGAATATTGTGGCTCTCTTGTGCTTTGTGTGACCTTTTTTTCTTTGGATCTTTTCCTACACATTGTAAAGCTCCATGCAGCTTTGTTTTCATGCATTTAATATCACTTCACATATTCCAATAAAATTTAAATGTTAGAAAAGGTAAGCACAATCTTTGAGGAACTTCTCAGACATTATCCTTATGTACAGGGGAAAATATCTAGTTATCTGGAAAAAGCACAAAAGAATATTTTAGGTTTCTGTATTCTGATCATTGCTTTATGGCATAAAATTAAATTATGCTATAGAACAGTCTTGAGTGGATTAGAGACAAAGGACTAGGGAGGATGGTAGGTAAGGGTGAGGAAATTACTTCTTTAGGTGATATTTGCTTCAACAATAAATGGTATATAGAGGTTAAAATGCTATCATTTTTAACTGTATCGTTCTTGAAATTTGTTTATAGATTTACATTTGTATTTTTCCTGCAGCTTGAACAACGGTTAGTTGAGATTGAAAATTTTTACTCAAACATGAGCAAGAAGCAAGCAAACACATCAAAAGGTAGTTCTGCTACTAAAGATAAGGATAAGGACAAACATGTACCGAGTATTAAGAAACAACAACAGGATGCATCACGTAGAGAAGCTGCTGCTGCAAAGAGAATGCAGGATCTTATGCGTCAGTTTGGCACAATATTACGTCAGGCAATGCAACCTATCAGTTGTTGTTGTTGTTGTTATTTTCTTTTTTAACATTTTCTTTGGTTGTGGAATGTGCTGTCCGTGTGAACCTTTGTTCTGTTGGCTGGTTCTTTAACAATCAGATTTAAAGTGTTAGGTTAGGTCAATTGATGAGGGGTTAATGAAAATGACGTATGGTTATTTTCAGTGTAGTTATTGTGAAAAGCCAACTTGAGCTAACTCAGCTCAAATGTGGGCAAAGCATTTGGTGCTCTACCTTGAATTTCGTATCTAGATCTGATTCTATTTTAGATTCAGCCTTTTTCATGTAAAAGAAAAAAATATGGTTTTTGTTTATTTTGACAATTCTACGCTATCATTAACCACCTCATTTGTTCCAAAGATCCAAACACATTTTTTTTTGTATAATTTGTTTTAATTTAAAACAATATCAAGTAGCCATACAAAATTATAATTTTCTATTTTTTTTTTCCTTTTAATCTTATTTTGTTTATGCACTTATGTTTTGTATCTGTTCTCTGCAATGCAAATTTAGCCCCATTTCCTAGATATTTATTTCTTTCATTTAAATTACAGGGAAACAACTACATTTGACTTCTTGAACTAAGGAGGATACATGAACTTTAAAAAATAACTAATTATTTCTTGGACTTTGGTCTAAAATGCAAATAAAATTTTCGAACCAAAAGGGAACTCTTTTGGAACTAGAAATGAACTTTTTACTGGTCCTATCTTGAGTTAAGTGAAGCACAAGTCCTGTGTTGAGTTAAGCAAATCATTGCCATTACAGTCAAAATCAACCAGCCTCCTTTAATTTTGATTAGAATTTACAATTTAATTAGAGTCTGAAGTTGGGGGTGTTTTACTTTGGGTGTACCAGTTTTGTTTTGTTTCATGCCTCTCTTAATTGAAATCATTTGTAAAATCAACTTTCAGTGGTGTCAGAGGCATAGAGCCTTATAACAAGGGGTGGAGGTGAATAGTTCATTCCTTGCCATCCCCATTCTTCATATATTTTATTATCAAAAGTAGGTAAGACAAGATGGCACGGTGCTTATTCCATGCTTCAAGTTTGGAAGGCTTTTCTGTGAGGATGTGTTAAAGATGAAGACCATTCTGCAGTGGTGCGGCCTAAATCTTATAGTTCAAATGTTAGGGACATTTGATTTCCTTGACTGACATATAGACTTGTTAAATAGAATAGTTTACACAAGAATATTGGAATATTTCAGTTGGTGATCTCAAGTAAGGTGATTGCTTGCAATTTTCTCGATTCTGTGGGGAAGTGTTTTTTAATATAATGATAATTTGAGTCCTTGCTATTTCTTTATTGTCATTAAATTGTAGATGAGATTAAGCCCCAAGTTATTGAATGTCTTCTGATATTTTGAATTGCAAATGATGTTCCCTAACTATATTGGTCTTTCCCCATCAGATCACGCAACACAAGTGGGCATGGCCCTTTATGCAACCTGTGGATGTGGAGGGCCTTGGCTTACATGACTACTATGCGGTATATTTCAGTAGTCCATTGTAAAGTTCCTAATAGTGAATGGATGGATTTGAATTACTTATAAGATATACTTGTTATCCTCATTTAATTGACTGAGTAATTGGTCAACCTTTTGTCGAGCGTTATTTGTTTCAAGTATCTGGTTGATTCTCATAAAAAGAAAAAGTTACCTGTTTGGCAGCCTTGAAATTAGGATAGAGCAGTAGACATCACATCAATTATTCAGGGCTGATATCCTGGATGTATACAGATAGTATATGTCTGTTGCTACTAACTTAGTTTAACAAATAAATTTTGCTAATGCATGACTGAACTTTAATTTATTAGCAAAGGACATATAGGTGATTGTCATTGTGTTAAGCTAGACTCTAGTGCATGTTTTGTGTCTTGCTTCTTATTAATATCTGACTGTAAGGTCAGGTGCTGATGGAAACTGATTGGCTCCTAACACTTGGGGGAGTTGCTTAGGGAGGGAGAGAAGGCATGTGATGGAAGATATCAAATTTGTAGTGAGATTTTTTTTTTTTTAATTCTGTTCTGTGTACTGTTTTTAGATTGATTTATGCTATGCTTTCTTTTTTGAATTCTTGTTAATGCAAGTCATCTGTGTTGACTTTTTTCTACAAGTAGTAATCAAGTGTATAGTTTTTCTCCAATGATGAAACATATTATATGCTCACCTTGTTGCATCAGTCATGAATTAGCTTGCTTATATTAGTTTGCAGTTGGCCCTTGATTGATTTGTTGTAGATGATGTATGCTAGGTCATTGATAAGCCTATGGATTTTAGTACCATTAAGAATCAGATGGAGGCTAAGGATGGCACTGGATATAAAAATGTTCGGGAGATATGTGCTGATGTCAGATTGGTTTTCAAGAATGCTATGAAATATAATGATGAGAGAAGTGATGTTCACGTGATGGCAAAAACTTTGCTGGCAAAGTTTGAGGAGAAATGGTTGGTACTTCTGCCTAAAGTTACTGAAGAGGTAACATATTATCTACGATTTCCTTTTCCTAAGACCAATTATTGTGTGGACTAGAATTTGATTATAGATTGAGATATGTTTTCTGTTTCATTCTAGAGACTCCTACGTTTTAACGTCAGTTTCTTGATGCATTAATGTATCATGTTGGGCTGTTAAATTATAGGAAAAAAGACGAGAAGAAGAAGAAGCAGAAGCACAGATGGCCATGCAGCTTGCTCAAGAGGCTGCTCATACCAAGATGGCTAGAGACTTGAGTAATGAGGTATTTTTAGTTTTAATTGAGGGGTGCTATTTTGAACTGCAAGAAAAAGTATACGCAAAATATATGCTATTTTCAAACATAGTAAATGTACTTTGTTTTGTTTATCTAAATTCTTCACTTGGGTCTGATGAAACGCATTGCTTAAGATGTCATTTGTTTCTTACCAGCTGTATGAAGTTGATATGCATTTAGAAGAACTAAGAGAGATGGTTGCCAACAGATGCAGGTTGGCTCTATTGCAATTACCCCCTTTATTCTCTCTTTAAAAAAAAAAAAATACATGGATTTCCCCCCTCTCCAAAAGCTAAATTTCAGAAAAATGGTTGCAGAAAAATGTCAACTGAAGAGAAAAGAAAGCTTGGGGTTGCGCTCGCCAAACTGTCTACCGAAGATATCAGCAAAGCGTTGGAAATTGTTGCCCAAAACAATCCAAGCTTCCAAGCGGCTGCTGAAGAGGTGGATCTTGACATAGATGCTCAGGTCGATATTTATATCCCACTCCCTGCCTATTCTTAAGGAAGGTTTTCTAGTGTAGCCTTTGCCTGTAGGTTCAACACTAAAAATCAATTAAGATAGGTTCAACACATTCATATTTTTCTTATCTTAATCTCTCTAAATACATGAATGTATGAATGTTGAGGATATGTATTAGAGCCCCCGGGATCAAGTGTGATGAATACTAATTAGCGAGCTGAGGTGGGCCGAGTCAGTAATGCGTCAGATAAAAGATGTTCCATGATTCAGTTACAAACTATTTGTTGCAAGTTGATTCAATGAGCATGTTCGTTAGTAATTCTTTGTGGTTCTTAAAGCAGAGTGACTCGACCTTGTGGAGGTTAAAATTTTTTGCGAAGGAGGCATTAGAGAATCAGGGTAAGAATTCAGGAAGCGTAGGTGGCGGCAATGAAAACCATAATACCAACAAACGGAGAAAAGATATATGTGATGCTATTGCCAAGACATCGAAGAAGAAGGCTAAGAAGCTTAAGGAGTAATTCTAGGACTCAAAACAGAGGCATCTTAAAGAGTTTTCCTTCCAAACTGAAATTGCTTGTGTTGTTTGGCTCTAGTCTCTTCAGCAATAGCTTTTTCTTGCGGCTCCTTTTTAAGGCCAACGATTTCATTGATCGAAATCTCCTGGTTAATGGCTTATTGGAAAAGTTGGTTTGGAACTTAGCATAATAGCATTGTGAGATCCATGTAGTGGACCCCACTTAGCACGCTATGGTTTTTGTTTTTGTTGTTTCATTGAAATTCCAACACTTGCTGTCGTCTCTGAAGCTATAGCTATTTCTAGGGGCTTTTCAAGGCCAATGGTTTCGTTAAAATGCCAGCTCTTGCTAGTTTTGAAGGCCTCTCGGTCATCTCTTGTTCTCCATTATCCCTGTGGTGGTTCTCTGTTGATGTAACTGTATTAGGTGATGAGGTTAGGTATCGTGTGGGTCAACTTAGGAGCACAGGCTTATGTAAACTTGGAGGTTATATATAAATGCACTGGACATTGTATTGTATTTCTAATGAAATGGTGAAGTTGACGATGGTGAGCTTGAAGTGCAGATACTCTTAATTGTTTTATTTTTCAAATTAAATTTTTATTTTTAATTTAAAGTTATATTGTTAAATTATTAGTATTTTTTTGTACATTATTCTCTTTAAAATAAATATAATAATAATTTTAATTGTCCAAATGAGATGATCTACAAGAAAGATGATCATTGTCCGGGATCTATGTGTACAAATCCAAAGCTCCCAGTACATCAAAAAAGTTGTAATGATAGATTTTTTTTTTTTTTTGGGGAATATTGAGTAATTATTGTACAACATTTTTAGTAGCTAGTTGCTAAGTTTTATTAGTCTTTTCTCCTGCTGTTGTATTTGAATATGAATGATAAGCGAAAATATTTTCTCCCCTGAAATTCTACAATTTTCAGCGCTTTGGTACAAAAGATTAATGCTGCTAAATTCAGCAAGACAGAAAAAAAATAAAAAAAAAATTTGCTCGCTTACCGGCACTTAAAGGCTAAAGTCCCAAAACTCGATTATCCAAAATTTAATCTAATTTTGAGACTTCACTTTTATATTCAAGGTTCGGTTCTTAATCTCTCTTTCTTAAAAAAAATTCAACATTTTAATTTAAATAGAATATTTTAAAATTCAACATAAAACAAATTAAAATCTCATGTAAAATTCGATAAAGATTTAAAATTTTAAATCTTCATCAATATAAATCTAAATCTTTCTCATTATCAATTAAAAATAAAATATTAGATCCCTCAGATGTAAGTTCACTTGTTGAAGAAGGAAGCGGAGATTTAATGTCAATTATCTTTACAACTTCTTTTTCATCACTTACAATAAATATTAACCAAATTGTGTCATTATTAATCAAATGTATGTATGTATAAAATAACCTAGCTTATCAGGGTTTGAAGGCTGTCCAAGCCTAAGCTCTTTTTCACATAACTTAACAGGACTAAGCTGTCAAGCTCGATTATTTAAAAAAAATTAATTTTTAAAATTTGAACCCTTATTTAAACAAGACCTTCAAGCCGGATCCTTTAGACTCGACCTTTATTACTGACTCTAATCTTGTAATTGTTAACGTATTATGAGGCAACTTAGACGCTTTCGCCAAACCATACTTATTTTGACAGAAGTGGGTGAGTGACGGAGTGTACAAACCTCTTGGTTTAAGCATCCACTTATTTTGACAGAAGTGGGTGAGTGACGGAGTGTACAAACCTCTTGGTTTAAGCATCCACTAAAACAGAAAGGCCACGAAGGCTTATGCATAAGGTTTCGATTTTAAGTTTTTATGAATGGGGAAAAAAAAGACATTTTTAAGACAGCTATTATTAATTGGAGCTGACAATGTTCGAATTGAATCTAGTCAAATAATTATATATATACATACATACATACATATATATATATATATATATAAAAGCGTCCACTAAAATAAGTTATGCTAAACTGGGATGGGATTTGTTGGTGAGAAAGGAATGCATTTGGACGTGGGGGAATCATTTATGTGGTTCAAGGCAAGTGGGAGATAGGTTTTCACGAGTAACTTGGTACATGCTCAACACAAGAAGTGCAAGAGTGCGGCCTTCTAGAAGGGCTCAAATTTTGCTTAGAAGTTGGGTTGTCGAACTTACAAGTGGAGTTTGATGTCCAGCATCTTTGCCCAAGCCTCATTGTGAGGAATGAATCTTGATTCGGGTGAACTACTTTGGAGAAGTGCACTGTGCGTATTTTCTTTCTTTCTTTTTTTAATTAATTAACATGATATGTATGATTTACGTACTTTTCCGATTCCTATTATATGATATTTTTTATAAAAAATTTTGGAAAAATTTCAGTGAGAGCCTTTTGACCCAACTTAATTTTAATCAAACTTCTAAAATTTTAAAATTTTATTGCATATATGCAGATCAAAATGAAATTAAAAAGCTGATTGAAATGACTTTATTATCTTTAGTGAAATAAATAACTAATATATAAAAAATAAATAACTAACATGGGTGAAATTTATAATTCTTGTTAACAGCATAACATCATTATGAATATAAACAAGTAAAGTCAGGCACATGAATAACTCATGTGAAAAAAATGACCAACTAATGTATGGAAAATGAACAACTAATGTAGGTAGAATAAAAGTTGCAAATTCATGGTGATATTATGCTGTTAATGAAAGTTGTAAATTTTAGTTACGTCAGTTGTTCATTTTCCATACATCATTTATTTCTTTTCTCTACATGAGTTGTTTATGCACTTAGATTTATAAGAAGTAATAAGATCATTTCAGTTAGCTTTTTGATTTCATTTAAATCTCTCACATGTACAACGAAATTTTATAATTTTAAGGGTTTTGATTGAAATTAAGTTTGGTAAAAGGTTCTCACTAAATTTTTTCCAAAAATTTTTTGTCCTTAACCTACGGCACATAGAGAGTTATTTATTTTCATTTTTTAATTTCAACTCTCTTGTAACTTTAATTTAATTTTTTTAAGACATTTAATAGTTACTTGTCATTCCTTGATTCCAGTAAAATAATTAAAAGTGCCTTATAACAGGGATCAAAGAAAGTATCTCTTCTTTAATAGTAATAATTAGTGTATCTATTGTGCTAGATCCAATTCCCATAAGCAACACCATTTTATTAAAGGGTAAGGTTCACTTTTATTCTTGTATTTATTTTTAGGAGTCTTGGATATCATATACTCTTAAGTGAGGCTAATTTTTCCTTGAAATATTTTTTCGAGGTCTAAAAATGACCTTCTATTAAGATACCATTAACTTTGCCATTTTCTATTGATGTGGCATGTGCGTGGAGCTCACGCATACTAACAGATAAGACTTTGACCATGTCTTTTGATGCTAATTTGTCCTTAAACTTTTTTCAGGAGTGTTGGACCCTTTAAAGTCTTTTTCTAAGAGTGTTGGGCATCTTGAAGTCTTATTAAAATAAAATTTAATAAATATTGCTAAAATGTTAAGTATTTTCATAGTTAATAATTTTGAATATTATTATTCACAAATATTTATTCAAAATTTATAAATTACTTTTTAAATTTTAATAACTCAAACTAGCATTTTATAAATTTTTGGATGACTTTTTATTTTTTTTATATTGATTTTCAATTTTTTCTCCGAAACAATGCCTAAATCATTAAGGCTTTTTGTGTGTATCAAAACTTACTTATATTTTTAATATTGATTAAGTTTCTTAAATTTTTAGGTCATTTTCTATATTCTTTTTTGTCAACTAATGATTTTCTTTCAAAATATTACACTAATCAAATTTAATATTCTCTATACCTCATAGTATTATGAGTAAAATAAAAAACATAACAAATTAGAACCAATAATATGCCAAAAAAATTATTTGAAAAATATTAGTTATTCCATTAATATGTTACGAAAAAGTTACTTAACAAGAGAAAAATAGAGAAATAAGAAGAAAAAATTTCTTCATTTATTTGGAGATTTATTTCCTTCATTTTGCAAAATATCAAATTATTAAATTAGGTGGTGTGACATTTTAAATATTAATATTTAAATTATTAAATAGTAAAATAATTGATATTTTCATAATATTTATTAAATTTTATTTTAATAAGACTTCAGGGTACTTAGTGCTTATAGAAATAGACTTTAAGATGCTCAATGCTACTTGAAAAAGAGTTCATGGGCAAATTAGTACTAAAGAACATGGTTAAAGTCATACATGTCAATGTGCGTGGGCCCTACGCACATGCTCCGTCAACAAAAAATAAAAAATTTAACAATTAACTAATAGAAGGGCATTTTTGAGCCTTAAAAAGATGCTTTAGGGAGAATATTGCCCCACTTAAGAATATAGGATGCCCAACGATTTTAAAAAATAAAAATACGAATAAAATTGTACCTTAATCCTTTTATTAAAGCTAATGGTTCATGATTTGTAGGTGCTTATCAATTATAGGCCAAGAGATGTTAAAGCTAATGGTTCATGATTTGTAGGTGCTTATCAATTATGGGTCAAGAGATGTGAAAAGGGGAGAAATTTTGAAGAAGGTTCTATACCATTCGCCGCGATACACATATATCAACCAGTGAAGGACTAGCCTCTCTATGTCATGCGCCACAGCATATGGCCGGTTTTTTTGATAAATGGCTTTATGCCATAATTCAAAAACAAGAGAGAGGAGAAGGAGAAAGCACCAGCCAGTTACTTTCTCTAATAGGGTATGAATTTGGAAACCATTAGAGATATTTTAAAACTTCTAATCACCTAAGATAAGTATTATATGCCCTTTATTTCTTGGAGATTAAAGTTAGGATTTGAGTTAGAGTGGTGGTTTTGGGTCAATATGAGCTATGAGTCTAAACCCATTAACTTAGATAGAGTTAATAGAAGTTTTTGGACTATTTAAACATAATATTAGCGATTTTGTGAGTCATTGGTTGGTCGAGACCATTAATATCTAAAAAGTTGCAATTATGAAGGTTGTTGGGAGTGTCTAATGACTATTAATGGTAGTATAATTACTCATTAATGACAATATAGGTTATTAGAATCTCATAAACCTATTAGGTGTAATTGAGAGTGAATTTATAATTTTGATTAAGAGAAAATGTGGAGTTGGAATGTTAGAAAATTGCTCAAAGAGGGATATTAAGGAATGTCTTTGTGATTGATTGTAGATTAACTATTTTGGCACTATTCAAGCATAAGGAGAAGCTTGGGAAGTTGTATTTTGAGAGATAAATTTTTAATCTCTCAAAAGTTTAAAGTAATCGAAGGAAAAATTCAGTTTGTATAGCTATTTATTAATTAGTTATTTGTTGAACTTAATGATTTAGAACTTGTTTGGTGTTTAAAAACCCATTGATGCAAATTTTGATAATGTGATGAATTATATGTATAAAATTGTCTTGGATTATGGAGAATAATTTGCATGTTTATATATATATAAAATTACGTGATGATGATTGAGAGCATGTTATTATGAAAATGATAAATATGTGACATATGACATGTGAAGTATGATGATTATGTGATTTATGGTATGTGGATTAGTATGGAGAGAGAAAATTGTGTGAATTGATATGATGTGATTAATTATGTTAAAAAAATAACATATTAAATGTCAATATGTGCATAGTTTGATAATTGGTGGGAGTTTCTTTTAGGAAGAGGAGTAGATTAATAAATCCATATGGTAATAGTGGCTTACCATTGGAATTGGAAATTAGCCTTAGCATTGACTATTGGAATTGGAAGGTAGCCATTGTCTTATGACTGATTCAAGATTGTCTCTCTTGTTCTTTGAGAGACTTGACTAACTAGTCTCTATCGATTTATAAAAAAGTTAGATTAGGGGTACGACATTCTATGGTTATTAGTATTAGGGGAACCGCAGAACACAAGTAAGTTAACTTTGGCATGGTAGCTCCTCACAAGTAAAAGGCTGTGTTAGTTCGAGTTGTTGACGAAGATACTTAATAGCCACCAGTTTCATGTTGAAAGTGTCAAGAAGGTATAAGATTGGCATTAATCATACATTTATAGCTCCGGCCATATGGTTGTTATTATTAAAATTTAGTATGGGTTAAGTAGGGGTGCATGATTATTACTTTTGTGACCTCTTGATGTGCATAATTATAATATATCTGATGTTATGTGCTACATGCTTGGTCACATGGTTGTTATTTTTGTAGCCGACACTATATTTGATCTTTGTGAATATGATATTTGAATTTATTGTCATTTGTATTCATATTTAATTTATATACAGTTGTATAGGCTAGATTAACCTTAATCACTAAGTAGTTATACTCATCCCTCATTTTTTAATATTACAGGGCCTAGCTCATCAGATTAGGATAAAGAAAAATGATCGAAGGCCTAGGATCATGAGTAAATCCTAGCAGTAGTCCTCTAGATTTATTTTTATGTGTATTTTAATTGTTAACTTGCCAACTAGGACCCCATTCCATTTTTTTAACTACTTACATTATAATTGTAAACATCTTCTGTATTTTGTGTCCTAAGATGTTGTGAAATGATTGTAAAATTTATATAGGACTAAAATATTAGTGCAATTAGGATATGGTGTGATTGGTTTAATTTGAATGAATATTTGATGGTTTTATGCAAAGTTGACTCCCCCTCTTGGTTTTGTAAATCAAGGAGTTGAGTGTTGAATTTATAAAATATGTGTTTTGGATTTGTTATGATGTATTGCACGAGTTCATTATGATCTTTTAAGTGTGGTCTAAGGACTAGTATAGGCTTTTGGCACATATATTATGTTTTAGACACCCTAATTGTGCGTTGTTGTGAAAAAGAAGTGAGTTTTATAAATGATATCCAACTTCTGATAAAAAATAATTTGATCGTGAAATTTATACTATTAGCTAGAATTAGAAGAAAGCTCTCCGTAGACACTTAGATCATCTCAATCAGACATTGGATGGAGATTTGGGATGCATTAAAAATTTATCCTGGGTACTGTCAATTTGATAGCAAAATGTTGTCAAACTCGTGCAACGTGCTGCAGCTTATGGCACAGAGGCAACATGTTACGATGCATCTGCAGTCACGGTGCATGTGTCCTTTTTGCCAAAGTTTATTTCCTCGTTTCTTTTTGCAAATACTTTGTTTCTTTTGGATTATCATATTTCTGCACATATTTTAAATTCTAATTCATAAACACTAAATGCATAAGGGAGTGTTTTAAATTATAAAAACTTGACATTCCCATTTGTAATAGTTCACAAACTTGGTTTTCACAATGGATTTGGGATATTAGGGTGGATTAGTTAGGGTAACATTACTGGTCCCACTTGAAGATTACACAAGTGATGTAATATAATTACTAGAGGGTCTCAAAATTTTAAAATTTTAATTTAGTTGAGGGAAATAGAAATGAACATAATTTTAACTATGAAAAAACTAAAATACCCTTCATTATTATGCAAAATCACTACTTATTAACTTTCTTACTTTACTTATTAATTTACTCATATGAGTTACAAATTACATGAGTTGACACATTAATAATTATATAAAACTTAACATTAATTGTTTAATCATAAGCAATAGTATCAGTTGTTAAGTTGCTAACTTTACTTATTAATATATTAATATCAGTTATAAATTACTAACAGGTCTTGTAAATTAATAAGTAAAGTTAGCAAATTAATATGTTTGATAAACAAATGTAATTTACAAGTAATATTAATAAATTAATAAGTGAAAAAAAAATTAACAAATAGTAATTTTGTATAACAACTAAAGGATATTTTAATATTTTAACAGTTGAAATTATTTTTACTTTTATCTATTGGACTGAACTAAAATTTCATAATTTTTAGAACTCATTAGTAATTATATCATATCTCTCATCCTTATTTGAAATTCGCCCTTTTATTTATGCATATGCGGACAAACTTGCAAAAATGAATGTAATTTGACTTGTCAATTATTCATTTGCACAAAAATTAAAAAAAGAGGATGCAAGACTTGGGAGGCTATTTTAAATTTTTAAAGTAAAAATGCATTTTTACACACTACAATGACATGAATGTAAATGGAGTGGTTTCTGTACATTTGTCTTGGAGAATGACAAAAAAAAAAAAAACAAAACTCCTAATATATGCAAATGACAGTTAAATATTAAAAAATGTGATAGTTATTATTTAATCTTTAGAGATTTACTTGACATTTTGATTTTTGATAACATGATATTTTTGCCCCATGATTATTATATGTTGAGAAATGCTTATTTTGGTTGGGTTATTGATTAAAATATAACAGAAAATAACTACTTCTTTATTATAAATTTATTTATCAATCAAGTGCAATTTTTTTGGCCAAATCAAGTGCTAAAACAAAAAATTAGTAACATTTTAGGAAATCACTATTTTGATTGGGTTATTAACTAATATAGAATAAAAAATGACTAAAAAAATATACCATTTTATCAAAATTCAAAATGTCCTAAAAACTAAATAATAATTATTATATAATATTTAATTGTCATTTGTATATTTGAAGAATACTTTATTATTGTTTTATCTTTTTTTTTGTTGAGAAAATGATAATAAAATCTCACTAAAATGTATAAATGACAATTAGATATATTAAAATGCTATAATTTCTCTAAAGTCTATATGTATCTTTTTAACATTAATAACTTTAAATTAAATGATTAAATTTTTTATTGTTTAAAATAAAAATAACAGGTCCAACTCCATTTTTTTAATCACAACTTTTATTTAAGTAATCATTATTTTTATTTTGTAAATCGCATTGATTAAAAAAAATCATAACTTTTCACATAAAATTTTTTTATGATTGATAAACAAGTTCTAAAAATAACTAGTCACAATCATAATTTTTATTTAGATAATCATCACTTTAATTTTATAAATTATAAAAATTGAACAAAAAATCATAGCTTTTCACATGAAATTTTTTTAATCATTGAAGTGCAAGTTTTGAAAAATATCAATCATCATTTTTGTTTAAGTAATCATAACATTTATTCTTTGAATCATAAAAAGTGAATAAAAAATCATAACTTTTTATGTGAAATTTCTTTTATTATTGAAGTCTAAATCTTGAAAATAACTAGTCCCAACTTTTATTTAAGCAATCATAATTTTTATTTTATGAATCACAAGAATTAAACAAAAAATCATAATTTTTTATATTAATCTGGTAAATTTTTTATTTTAAATAATAAATAATTTAATCATTTAATTTAGAATTACTAATATAAAAAAGTATTTAAAATTTATTTTTTTTAAATAAAATATTTTGAGGGACTTAATTTTTATTTATATATTTTTGATGAGATTTCACAGTCATTCTCTTTTTTGTTTTTCTCTCACCAGGGTAACAAAACAAATTTCTTCATAAAAAATGGCTGCAAAAGAAACCGAAGCAATGGAGGCAGCGTTAGTGCAAGAGCATCTGCGAAATCAAGTATATATGTAGCGTGAAGGATATTTCCTTCAGAGTCAGGGCAGAAAACTCAACCTGCGACAGCAAGTGCATTTGCCTACTCAAGTTCCGGCGCCACAACCTCCGCAGGGGCAACTTAAGCAATTTCTGTTGTATATGCCTGGTAATGTCTCTAATTATCTCTTCTTCTTTTTTTTTTTTTTCCTGTCTTATATGTTTTGTTTTTTCGGTTATATCTTGTCGCCCTGGTTCTAAATCATCCAGATCACTTGATCATGCCATTGATTGTTGCATATTAGATTTCCCGGTGTATGTGTTCGGATTTTAGCTATTTAGCTGGTGGGTTAACCGTTAACGAGTACTATCGATTTTTCCTTTGGTTTCTGAGCTGTTTAGGTGAGTAGTTTATACTGCTAAGCTTACTTTACATTGAACTGAATTCGGATGGAAAAAAGAAGAGAAAGAGTGAGGGGGCGGGGGGAAGAGAAATAGCACTTGAATTTTAGCACATAAAAATGCCGCCAAATACCTATTACGTATCGAGGAAAAAGAAGCTCCTTTGAGAACTCCATGAACAGAACACAAAAAGGATGCAGAAGATAATTTCTTTCACCTTTAGTCGTTTTGAGTCGAACATTCACCCGAATATTAGTTTGGCAAAGATTTTTATTTTCCTTATTTAGATTTTCTGCGTTTCATTCCAGCAATCCAATTGGAATGATGATAACGCGCTCTCTCCCATAATCTGTAATGTGTTATAAGTGTTCCAGTATTATTACTCCTGGACAGAAGTGAAGTGTTACTTTTTCCCGAAACGAATTATTGGGGGTGAAATGTACTTCTGTATCTTGCCTGTTATGCTATTATTGCATGATCGTTCATGATCTCAGCCAATCCTTTAAAGAGGTGGATGGAAACGGACTGGAGTGAACATCACTTATCTTTCCCTTTTGGATAGTATATCTGTTATCATCCATCATGCTGATAGTTTGTTTTAGGGAAAGCAACAAATATATCTGTTATCATTCATCATGCTGATAGTTTGTTTTAGGGAAAGTAAACGAATTGTGATTTGTACATCTCTGGCAACCCTATGGAATGACACGGCAAGGAGAGGGTTCTAGTAGAACTGTAACATCTTAGCTTGGATTTCGTTGCATTGCTGGTAAACTAACTAGAATTGTTATGATAAGATTTTATTGAAAATATCTTAATTATCCCTAGCTTATATCACGTTTGGATATGACAAAAATAAATATACCTTTCCAAGAAACACCTCATTCTGTTGGCTAGCTTCCCATATGATGTCATAATCCATTCATAATGGAGGGAATCAAATGATCGCCTTTGTTATTTCCACTCCATTCCAATCCCTTCTATTCATTTCTTTTTCCAATTTATGCTCTATTGATTGCTTCTCAATAAATTTCATTCTGTGGTGCCTTTTGTTTTTATCAGGGTAGTAATTGTATAGGATGGGAAAAAAATTAATTTTATGTTTCATGTGAATCTAGCTTGACTTTACCAAATATGCTTCTATTCCAGCCAATAGTAACCTAAGGCAAGATACCAAGGAGATAATGTTTCTATCCTTCTTTCTAGAGGACCTCTGATTTTCCCCCATCGTTTTTATGACCAATTTAGAATGAGTCTTATATATATATATATATGTATTATTCATTAAAATGTATAAAAGAAAAAAGACCAGAGTTTCCTGTTTGAGCAACTGACTCACCGATTAAATAGGGTTTTGCTAGTCAAAGCCCACCAGGCTTATAATAGGATATATAAAATCTCAGAGGTGCTAAAAGAAAAATGAAGTCTTTAGTTATTCTCATGCAAGAGCTTTCTATGAAGGCTAATTAGAGCTGAATACCCAGAGCATGAGAGTTGCTTTACAAAGTACTTTCCTTTTCTATGTTCATTTATAAAACAATCTAGGATCACTTTTGGCCGATTATCAGGGAGCAGTGTACAGAAATGTGGTTGCTCTTCTCAATATTGGAATTAATTTCCTTCTTTAAGTGCTTCTATTGTTTTTTATTTTTTTGGATAGTGGTGGGGTTTTCTTGATATCAAGTTATTTGCTTGATTAGTGGTGGTTCTCAGCCAGTATGCTAAATTTTAAAACCTCCGGCACCCTTCCCATTTTTAAGTGCTACACTTCATTTCACAGGTTGACACGTTGTTTAATTTGTATTTCACTCTTAGAAGCTATTTTCAAGTAAGGAATATCACTATAGCACTTTTTGATTGCTTCTTAAACTTTGATTGAAGAATTTCTTTGCTATTTGATTTGGGTTACAGTATGCTTATTTGTTAAGTGACACATTTTATAATCCCAGATTAAATTAGAAAACAGCATAGTTGTTTTAACAACTATTCATCTTTGCCTGTTGTAAAAAACAACTGTTTGCATGTTTTCTTAACATCTTGGCAAGAAACTATAATTTTGGAAGATATTTCCACTGTATTTAAGTAATTTGAAGAAAGGATGTTTGAGATGCAGGTGAAATGCAGAATCAGGATGCAAATCAGCTTCCTGAAGTGGATTCCTTGCCAGATGGGTTTGTTGAGAGCACTACAGAGCCTCTTGCCCCTCCAACTCCAAAACCTGAACAAGAGAAGCTGCTGAATAATTACAAGAGGAGTGATTCGTCAGATGTTGGCCTGCCTAATGACTCATCAAATGAGTTGGCAGTAGAAGAAAATCAAAACACTCATGGTAAGGAAGACTAATGAGCAACTCAGAACTCCTTTTATTCCTATATCTAAACTTCATACTTTTGGCGCATCAGATTGCTCAGTGGAGGTTCCTTGTGGTAGCTTGAAGCAGCAGGCAGAAAGTACACAGGTTACGCCTCCTGTGGGTGATTCTGATTCTGAGATTCCTCTATCCAGTTGCATTGAGGTGAAAGGTCAAGAAGGAGAATGTCAAAGTTCAGAAAGAGGTAAATATCATTTGCCTTAATGCTTATTCACATTTAAATAAATGTTATAACTACATGCTAATTGGGTTTTCCCATCATGGAAGATGCATGATAAGATCTTGATCTTGAATCGGGAAATTTCCGTATGATTTTCATATTAGATCATTCTTCATATAGTGCCAAGCATTCATCTATTGATGTTTTGAAGTCTAATCCATGGTGATTATGTTAAGTTTTATCTGTTGGCCCTCCGTGATTTTCTTTTCTTCATTTTCTCCTTGTAGACATTTAGGCATTAGTATACTGCTAGTGACGTGGGTTGCCTTATTGGTGGATATTTAATGATTATTTATAAATAAAAATGTTTGATTTTGTGATTTTTTGGCAAAAAGCCAATGCTTTTCTCTTTGTGCACTTAAGGATATTGAATTTGTGATGCATTATTGGCCTCGAATTTCATTCATTTAAATGACAAATTTCCTTCTTTATCTTTATTTATGGAATTTTTTCTCATAGGGAGGAAAGGGGGATGGGGGAGCATAAGTATTGTTTTTCAATAATTTATTGTTTTAAATGATGCATTTGTGATTGGCATTTTCTTTTCTTTAAGTGCTGCCTTTGTTACAATATAATAATATAGTTAGCTGGGGTTGTTGGTTAGAGAAGTGGTGACCATTGGACTAAGTAAGGTCTCCCTGGCATCAATATAAAGGGGTCCCTAGATCATTGTAAGGTTTATGTGGACTGATACAAGTATATTAAGATAACGGTTCCCCCTTTCCCTCATTGCAAGGATAAGTGGAATCTCTTATGTTTCAAAGATTTGTCTTTAGCACTCTATTTCATACAACAACAACAAGCCTTATTCCATAACGTGTAGCTATATAGATTGCACAATGTCTTCTGCTTGATCAGTAGCTAACTCTTTAGGTATATCATTTATGCAGAGATCCTCTTTGATAATTTCTTTGGATGTTTTTCCCCCTTCCTCTACATTCCTTTATAGGGCTAAAGGCCATCTACTTAACTCTCCTTACAAACATTTCTAGTGGTTTTCTTTGCATATATTCAAATCACCACAAAAGATTTTTTTACTATTTTATTCTTGATGAGTTCCCATGCCAACTTTTTCTCGTATATAATCATTATGAATCATGTCTTTTCTTGTTTGATCACACATCTATTTCAATATCACCATCCTTGCTACCCCAATTTTTTTGCTCTCGTTTTCCCTTTATCACCTAACATTCACTATCATATAGTCTCACTAGTCTTATAGCAGATCAATAGAACTTTCCTTTAAAAAAAATAGGTATTTTGCAGTCACAAACGACTCTTGATGCCTTCCTCTATTTTAACCCCTCATCTTGTATTATATGAATAACATTTCCATCAAGTGCATCGTCATTTTGTAACATCTCCACCCAGGACTCTATATTATAAAGTATACCTTTAGCAAAATGAAATCTTCATATTTGTTGGGGAGAACCATGGGTGAAATTGAGATTATATTGCCCTTTGATTTTTCTTTTTTGTGAATAATCCAAATTGTTGATGCTTGACCATTAAACAGTGGTACCCCTTTTTTGGGGACAAAGAATTTCTGTATTTAAAGCAAAATGAATTGAACATGATCTTAAATTATCAGTTGGATAACTGTAACAATTCGTTGACTGACATTTCTTATATTCCTTGTACTGGTAGATCTTGTACATTGCCATATATCTTCAAAATCTTTGGTATGATTTTGTAAACTGAAAGAATCTATTGATTTCCTTGTAGCATGTTTGTTTTTTGTGCTCTAATGGAATGAATCAGTTAGGCTCACACATGTCTACAAACCCATTCCAATGCATGCTAGCAGATCTCCATGATTTAGGTTTTAGTATTTATTCCTCTATCTGACAGTTCTATTTTGTGGGTCTGACATGGCTTTGTTGCCCTTATTGCTCGTTGCCGTTGCAGCTACTGGTGATCTTCTGGAAACAAAAGTTATGCCTCTTAAAGATTCACATTCATCAGAGATTGCTGATTCTTCAAAAACCAAAAAACCTGTTAGTGAACCAATTCTGTTGATTCCTAATCATTCATTCACACGCATCGACACATTAACAACCATCATATATTTTCTTTCCTCTATATCTTCTAAGTTATTACATCCGTCTGTATCAATGACTTTGTTGATTATTGGCTATGTAAACATTGATTGACTTCACTGTGATGCTTTATTATTGTTTCATGACTGCCATTCTTTCTTTTTACAACCCATGATTACTATGTGCTGATAGCTGGTGGTATTCTTTTTTAATGCATCCAGGAGCGGTAGTCCATGTATATTGAGAATGTATGCTCCATGAAAAAAATTAATGAAATCGAAACTTAGGGGATCCTTGAACTTTTAAGAATCCTGTTAGGCATAACAAATAATAGTAACAGGAAGTATTGAGTAACTTTTGCTTTATAATTTGTATAGGAAAGGAGCTTTAACAGTGAAACCCTAGAGAGTTGATCCTTTATATATGTCCAGTAATGCATAGAAAACTTAGTGAGGTTGTTGATGTAGATTACATGATGTCATTATACTCTATCAATGACCTACTTTTCAGATATATCATCCATCAATAGATCTCATTGGACTTCTTTTTGCATGTCACATTTGAGAGTGCTCAAAGGAACTTAATTTTTCAGGAACCTGCTGAAACAAAGCGGAAGAGCACAAAGCGTACATTTAAATCAGAAAAGGAGTTGTTGGAGTTTACACTTAAGTATCAACAAGTATTGGCAGAAAGAGATGCAGGTATGTCAAAAATGAATATCTTCAGCTTTTGATAATTATCTTTTCAGTGGTTGGGAAGTTTCTGATACAATTATTTGAGTTCTTAGTTTCTTCCATTATATCAGTCTGCATGAACAAGAAGGTAGGGTTAGGCAGTACTGTGTTCATGGAGAAGAAGGTTCAGATCATGCAGCGGTATCTGACCTTGTTTATTTTCTTCTCACTTATGTGTACATATGCACATAATTAAATAGTAAGAGTCCTTTGCAGATCAGATTATTTTCCTCCAAAAATAAAAACTGGTAATCTAAGCTAAACATTTTTGGATATTGTGGAGGATATTACTGCAAAAACAGTTAATAATAATTAAAAGATTAGGACTCTAAGCATTGCAGCTTTGGGGTGAAGATACTTGGAACAATCAAGTACTGCTGTTGTAATTGACAACTTGACGTTTTCTTCATTGTAGGTGCCATGATAGCAGCATAGTCTATTTGTTTTACTTCTATGTTTGCTTTCTCTCTCATATGCTAGTATTAAATCCCCCCCTTTTGGTATCCTTGTCCATTTATTTCTTTAAACTAATCATTTATTTGCTTTCTGGGGTAAGGGTATGTTTTAAAATTGTTTGTTAATAATCTGTAAGGTAAGATATGACCTATAACTATGTTGGGGCTTTATTTTGTCCATGAACTTTTTGCCTTTATATTTGTAGCTCTTGCTGTGCGAGATAAGCTTGAGTCACTGTGCAGGGAGCTACAGCGTCAAAATAAGATGCTCATGGTATGTCTTTGTAGTTCCAAAGCCTTCTATTGATTGTATAGTTTTCCAGGTGCAGTCGCTCCAGAATGCATATTGTGTCTTCTATTTGTGGTGCCTGTGGCCTCTCTATCTCCATGCCCCTCTTCAATATTCTAATTACATTAGCGACTTTCCCTTTCCAATCACACTTTTGTAATCATATATGCATCTTTTTGTGAGAAAACTTGTTAAGTTGATTTTTATGTGGCGAACACTGTTTAAAAGATTTCTTTATCACCCACCCATATTGGTGAAAACAAATATCTCTGTGGCAACATGGTTTGTCAGTAAATTAAATGAAACCTGTACTACTTGTGCCCATGTCTGCATTCTCTCTTAGCTTCTTTGTTCTTAATCACAGAAGGAATGCAACTTATGCAGCCTTGTTACTTTGCTCCAAAGCGAAGAATTATAAGCTTTTCTTGATAAATTTAGCTTGTCTTTGACTATTTCCAAATATCTATATAGCCTTATAATATATTTCTTTATGCTCTGTACTAAATCCTTTTCAGTGCAACATCAATTTGTCTAAATGTATACCAAGTTTATTATGGCATAAATGATACACGGATTTACTATTGTCCTTTTAGTCCATCCAGGTTTTGTTATTCGCATATAATAGAGTCATGTGATGACTTCAGGATTATCCTGCACTTAATGGTTGGTTTTACATTATTTTTCATTAGCATATTGATACTTGGGAACCCTGGTTTCGGGATCAATTATGCTTCAAGTTAGATGGGAGGAGGCAGACTGTGTTGCTTGAAACTAACTCTTTCATAAAGCGCTCTCTCTCTCTCTCTCTCTCTCTCTGTGCTTCCTTTGGGGATTTTCACAGGCTGGCCTACCCAATGTCCAGCCCCATGAACACTTTGTGCTACAAATTACAGCTTGTGGCCTAGCCTAATCTGGGATGAAAAACCATAACGGCCAGTTTCATTTTGATGGAGAAAGAACGATGAAGCAAGAAGAAATTATCAACGGATAGAAGGGACAATATTATATTAATCTGGGATTCCACCTCCCCTTTATGTTTTTTTACTTTAAAAGATTACCATGAAATGGTTTTATTGGAACCTGGTTCATCTAACTTAAGGCTTTACACCATGGCTTTCTTAATGGAAAGAATAAGTCTGCTTTGTTAATTTTCAGGAAGAATGCAAACGTGTGTCAACTGAGGGACAAAACTTGAGGTTGGACTTATCAGCCAAGTTCCAAGATGCAATCAGGGTTTGATCCTTGTCTCTTGTTTTTTCTTGAGAGTCTGGTAGTCTCAAGTAACATACATGTGGTATACTGGGCTTTCTACCATCCATTAAGTGGCATGTCAAATTTAGTGCAATTTGTTTCTATTTAATTTTTTTTTTAATCATATCTTACTTGAGAGAGGATTATTCTTATGCCCTCTCTGTGGGTCTCAGCTTTATTTGGGGGGGATCTCCTATCCTATGTTTTTGTATTTTTCTGAAATTGTTCTCTCATCTCATCAATAAATTCTATATTCTTTTTTTTACCACTAATAAGAATAACAATGCCATCCGTTCTAACCAAGAGGGCCTAAAGTTTGTGAAGCTACATCTTTTGACAGTTGCTTATACGTTCATTCTATCCATATCATGCCCTTCAGAATTATTTGCACTGTTCCGAATGCTTGATGGAGAAATGGATCTGAACATTGTGTATTCCCTTGTTTAAATTTTTTCAAGGGAGTATCTGTTTTCATGTTGCTGATATTTTGCATCCATTTTTTGTGAAAATCTACAAAATCAAAATTTCATCCATGTCAATGTCAATTTTTTTTAACCTGGAGGTTGCTTTTGAGAATTGCCCTTGGAATGTCAGGTTCACCGTGTTTCATAGGTTGCCTTACAGACTGTTAGATTCTCATCCTTTGTTGGTATTGGACAATCCTAAGAGGGTTTATTCTCCCAACCCTGGACTATTCTCTTCCTTTATATTAAAACAAAGTTAAAAATGCACCAGTCGAGAGGTGCCAAGCATATGGCAAGACAAAAAACTGTTTCATGCCAGAGATTTACAGAGTTATACATAATTCAAAGGTGGCTTACCTTGATGGCATGACAATTTAGCTAGGTAAGAGTGGCTCCTTTTTGTAGACTTGATGTCTCTAATGAGGGCTTTCAAAGAAGATGTATCTTTCAAACAAAAGCTCATAGCTACTGCAATACATATTTAAACGTGCTGAAAATAATCCTGATGTCACTATATCTTTTATTCTATTCAAATCCTTCAGTAATCCACTATTTTGGCATTGTTAGTCAGTTGGTGGAAAATGTGTTTCAACATTCAATGTTCATTTTATCTTAAATGAAACTTAAGTTCCTTTTATTCTGGGGAAGTTGGAATTTCAATCATTATTGGTCTGTCCCTTTTTATTTCTTTTTGGTAAGAATTGAGTTTAATTCTCTCCCAATGTTTTGCTTTCTTAATTGCAGGATGTGGGGATTAAGCTTGAAGAACAAAAGGATGAGTGCCTTTCTCAGCTAAAGGAGAATGAGATGTAAGACCTTGAATATTATGATTGTTATTGGTTGGGGAACTTGGGATTGCATGTCTTTTTCCATCAGTACCATTACTTTCTTTTCGCTTCTTCTTGCTACAATTTGAGATAGAATAAAATGTGTTTTAACTACTTCATTCCTACTTAGGACTTAGGGTGGATATTTTCCCTGTTAATGGATCTTAATGGGAATTTCCTTGAGTGGGGATCAGAATGGGAAGATTTCTCTCCTTTGTGGGGATGGGTGGTGGGGGAAGATTGTGTCAGATATTGGTAATCTACATCTGTGGTTAGGACTTGGTTATTTTCCCTGTTAATGGATCTTAATGGGAATTTCCTTGAGTGGGAATCAGAATGGGAAGATTTCTCCCCTTTGTGGGGATGGGTGGTGGGGGAAGATTTTGTGTCAGATATTGGTAATCTACATCTGTAATTAGTCTTGCATTGTCCACTTGGACTACGTTACTCTCTTATGTTATCAAGATTCATGAGAAACAAACTTGAACACTGATCATACAAACTTTATAATGTAAGCTTATTCCAGGTCTATTCTGCAGCAACTGGGTCTGTGGACTTTATTCCATGCATCATCCTAATTTTTTTCTCAGTCCACAAAACATGTGGTATAATGTGGAGCTGATACAATGGCATAGCTCTTTTTATTTTTTTCCTTTTTTCTTCTGTTCTGGTAATGATTGCATCTGTTTTCTGTTCGTTGCTTAGGAATGGCAAGTGGTCAGGTGCCCCAAGTCACTGATTAGCCCTTATCTATGCCCACTCAAGTTGTTAGTCTGCTCCAGAAGAGAAGTTAACACTTAAGACGAAAACTTCACCTGACAATTTGCTTAATTAAAATAATAATAACTATATTTAAATTGATTTCTCTTTGGTATAATTAGGTGTGTTATAAAATAGTTTTTACACTTCTTTGAACCTCATCGACATCAAATAAAAGAATATATTGCAAATAAGATTGTATAAAAGATTTCCCTTCCAATTTGTATTCTAATTTGTTTACTGGAACTGTATAAAAAATTAAATATAAAATAAGTGGCAGATAGCATTTGATAACATTGACAAATTTTGATTGTGGCTCCATCTTTAATTTGTCGTTCTCTGTTCATGTGTTCTTAATTAATCATCCTTTAATTTTTGTTACACTTCATATTTGATTATCTACAAAAGAACAATAAGGTCAAAAATATTGATTTATTTTGTGGTCCTATAGCAGTATTATTGATGCAAAACACACGAGATGGAAGAGAAGTATTATAGCAGTATTATTGATTATCTACACACGAGAGGGAAGAGAAGAGGGACGCAGAACTGATAGGGAAGGGGAGCAGAGGGAGAGAGACTCAGAGTTGAGAGAGAGAGAGCATTCACATATCTCAGAAATTCATTCATTTAACTCTAAGAACTCTCTTACATGTGCTGCATGGTGGCTTTTTATAGAAGCCACAATTGAGGTTTCCTTCCTATGAAGGAAACATAAAACAAAATAAAGTATAAGCTTGAGGTTTTCTTCCCTATAAGGAAACATTTACTTGCAGCTCATTTAATAAATGAAGTGATAAAATAGCCCACTTGCTAAATAGAGTAAAAAACAGAAAGTAATGAAATATAAAATTAGGATAGATTTCCTCTTATAGCAAGCTTCTTCAAAGTATATTAATTCTTATATTTCATCAATTATTGTTAGCATTATATATATATATATATTCTTTATTTAGGTTAAGAAACAAGTTGAAGGAGCTTGCTGATCAATATACGCTATCTGAACAGCAATATGACCAGAAGGTGAATTTTATCATGTGTGTGATTGACATTTTTGGTATAAGTCTATTTAAGAATTCTGCAACTGATATGTATTTCCATGATTGTGTATTCAAATCCACAGTTGAAGCAGAAGGCTTTGGAGCTTCAGATTGCTGATTTAAAAATTAAACAATATGAGGAAAAATTGGTTCAGGAAAAGTCTCAGATGAAAGTATATGCAGAACAAGTGTCTCAGCTACTGGCAACTGAGAAAAATTTGCGCTTGCAGCTCACTGCTGATGGAGAAAAATTCCAACAATTCCAGGTTAATTTGGTTCTTTTTCTTGTATCAGTGTGCAATTTCAATTAAAGCCACCGCAATCTTCTCACTGGTTGCATAAAGCTTTGCTTTGCTTTGCTTTAATGGCGCAATTTGCAACCCATTGACTTGAGAATTGAAAATAATTGTGTATTTTCTTTTATCCCCAGAAAAGAAAAAGTCATTAAGTGAGCCTTATATTGATGGGGGCTTTAGTTTGACATCCTTAAAGTCTAGTTTTTTTTATTAATTTAATTATTAAACCACTAAATATTCAACTAATTATGGGTTCATATACCTTTAATTATTTGTATTGACCTTTTATCCTCCAAGCAAACAATAATCCTTCCATAAACTGACTGAACCTCTCTCATTCTTCTTTTGCTTGAATTATACTTGTTAATTTGACTTTTTCATGCATGCTAGTGGCACTATGACTGATTTGGCCCTTCAACTTATTAGGTATAGGCATTATTCTATGGTAGGTTGTCTCTATAGCTTGGTATTTGCCAAATGCCTCTTTTGGAATGCTTTTGGGTTGCCCTTAGCTCATGGCCACTGGACATGATTTGAGACATTGATATCGACGCTTTTTGCTTTTATTATTCAGCTGTTTGACCCCATCTTGAATTACCTGATATATATGTAGTTTATGCCTGAATGTGACTTGTTCTTTATTATGCTTCGATTTTTCAGGAAGCATTGTTAAAGAGCAATGAGGTTTTTGAAACATTTAAACAAGAGATTGAGAAGGTACAGAATCATTTCTAAAAAAAAAGAAAAATTGATGTGTTCACAAGTCAAGTATGCTGATCCCGATGTAGTTTGCATGAATTTTATGCTAAAGTTTTCTGCCTTTGTTTTTTCCCTGGAAACATTCAGATGACAAAATCAATCAAGGAACTCAAAACGGAGAATCAATTCTTGAAGAGTAAAACTGAGAAGTCTGATGTTACTCTCATAGAGTTGGTTGATGAGGTATACGATGTTTTTACCCCATTTGCATGTTAGTTTTATATTCTGTACAATTTACCATTTAGCCTGCAAGGACAGCATTAGTATCCCCTGCTTCCTCAGGTGCGTTCAGGGTTCATGCTGCCTAATTGTAAACGTGATTTTTCATGCTTTACGAGCTGGGTTGCATTATCATGTGTAAATTCCTGTAACTTCGAATTTACTGATATTCTCACATATGAAGGCTTGTGAGCACCTTTCTAGGTTAGTTTTTCCGTATACATTAGGTGATGTCTGGTCATCCAACATTCCAACCTGAATACTTCGCTTACCCCTTAGAGCCTTAAAGCTGCTGATGGCATTTCCAAGTGAGCGATTTCCATATCCCCTACCTGGTAAACGGGTAACCATACCCTTTGTCATATTTTCAGACTCTGTTTTTTTAGTGCATAGCTATTCTAGATTTTTGTTTGGATGACCTACATAAGATGCCTATGCAGCTGATAATCCACAGCGGCCTTGTTTCTAATATACTTGGATCCATATCTGGCTGAGACCATGCTATATCATCGTTCGTGGTTCATGAAGTCATTATTGAGGACCACTTAGTAATACCACTTGTTTTGCGCTTGGAACATTGCCCTAGTGGTAAGGATGCTACGCCCCTAGTGGCAAAGATACTAGGTTGTGGGTTCGATCCTGTAAGGCTAGTTTAGCCCCCTTCCTTAAAAAAAGGAAGAAGAAAAAAAGGTTTTGAAGCTATAAGATGCCTAAGATATCTTCACTTTGCAATTTACTATCATGGACACCCCACTTCTCTGAATTTTCAACTTTGCCAACACTTCTATAGAATATTAATTATATAATTTATTAAACAATTCTACTTTGTCTAACCAAGTATTGATGTTAGATACCATACCTTATCCCTGGATATCCAAGTTACCTGGGAAAATAATGCCGGTATACTAAAATGTCCCTCGGTCTTGTTTGCCCTTTAGAATTGAGTTTCTGGGATGATTAATTTATGTTTTAGTTAGTTTTAAAATAGCGAATATCTGGTTCAAAAGCATAGTGTCAAGTTTCTGAATTCTGTGTAAGATTGAAGTGTTTTGGAAGACAGAAATATATGGATATGAGAGGTTAAACACCAATCCTTGTTGATAGTTTTTTTTTCTCATTTATCATTGGGTAAGCATGATTTGTGTAAGTTGTAGCTTTTTAAAAAAGCCATCATTTGTTTATATAAAGCTGTGACGAGCATCCACTTAAGTTTCTTTGAACTCTGTGCATCTTTTTCTAATTTGATGCTTTCATTCCTTAATGGACAGTTAGCATTTTGAAATTTGTCTTGTTTTTTCGTTCTTGATATTGTTAAGGGAGAGTGATAGTAAAGTCCCAAAAGAAGGAATAATGAAAATTAGATCCTTGACAAATTTTTTTGGAAAATATGTTATAAATATTGATTTAGAAAACTGTAAACAGGAATCTCAATTGCAAACTGAGAGTTACATTTAAAATTTGAATGTCTTATTTGCAATTGAAACTCTTGATTTGTAATTTGTCAGGGAGCTAACTATTATTAATTCTCTTTTTTGGATTTATATTGTCATTCTACCTATTGTTAATTTAATTTGTAATGCATTTTCAACATAATGATTATTTATTGTCATGAGACGTGAATTTTTTTCCTCGAGCAGCGTGAGTGCTTGAAGAAACATCTGGAGAAAACGAAAAATCAGAAAGAGAAGTTGGAATCATTATGCAGGTCCCTTCAGGCTGAGAGGAAGCAAAATTTGTCAGGGAGCAAGAGTGATAACTCAGTTCAGACATGAACAAGAGCTTATTAGAAACATGTCGATGAACTGTCTTCTTGAAGCTGTGTCTCAAATACTATTATCATGTATTTGCGGAATTCTGATCTTCTGATTCTTGCTTATATAGTGCAATTATTCTCAGGTTGCGCTTTCTTGTTTTTCTTGCCTTTTCTTCTGTTGATCCATCCCATTCCTAGTATTCTTCAATTCCAAAATATCTGGTTCAATTTTCTAGTTTTTTTTCCCCCTCAGAATATTTTTAAACTTTATGATATGATTATCTGTAAGGAACCTTCAGCATTGCTTTAGGAATTTGAGTACTCAACCTTTAATCACAGCTTTTATTCGGTTTACTAAAGCTAAGGGGTATTTTAGGAAGAGATTTCATTAAAACATGTAATTAATCTTTAAAACATGCAAAGGATATTCATACTAGTTGCTTTTAAAAATTGCAATAGGATGCTTGTATTTTACAATTTTGGTTGGAAGTGCATTTTTATAATCCAAGATCCTGTAAAATACTACGACTCTGCTTTACCGACCAAAGAAAATTGGAATCCTTGGAATGCTCGGGTCTTGTGTGCATGCCATTATCCCTTGGACCTAAGCCTTTAAAATCTCAAAGCAAACCTGTTTGGATTTTGTGTTTCGTCTAAGAAATGCGAAATATTGTTTATGACTCATGAATGAAACGATTTATGGTGTAACTTGTTAAAATATTTATATTATTTTTTTCACCTATAGTCATTTTTTTCTGTTACTATACGCAAATGAGTGTGATAAGGCTTGGTTTCAAATAGGCGATTCAAAATTTATTTTATTTTATTTTGAAGAATATTAATGTAAGATAAGAACTTATTTTTAATTGAAACTTCAAAATTTATAACTCAAATTTTGAAATTAACAACCTGAAGTTCCTTGATTTTACATTAATGTTCTTCTAGTTTTCTCATTTGCCACTCCCTTTTATTTTTAGCATCAATCGTTATTTTTTTAGAGTTATTAATTGAGAAATTACTTGCACTGACATTTCAATTGTCTTGAAATATAAAATATCGTACATATTCATGTAAGATTCGGTAAAGCCTGTGTACCAATTTACAATGTCTCCATCATTGAAGTTCATCAAGTCGGCCACATGGATTGGCTAGGGTCGTCTTCGACTAATGATACCTTGATCCCCAAGCCTAAGGACTACAAGGACTACCTTTTTCTTAGGCACTTCTATTTGTATGGGGAATTCACTGTTAATAGATCCCCCTATGTATCCTTCTCTTTCGCCGCCTCCTTTTATGCTGGTTGTGTCAAGTGTCTAATGCAACTCTCCTCTTTTTTTCAAGTTTGGGATTGGCTATAAAATATGACAAAGTTTTTGCTAACAAGAAGTTGCTCAAAGCAACACAAGAAACAAAAAACCAATGAGAGTCATCCTTCATTTTCAATAAACATCTCAAAAGACCACCAGAATGATACCTGATATATACATGCCAAGATACAAGCAAACCAACAATTCCCAAATCAAGCATCAATACTGAAACATACCGTCCCCTTTAGAAAAGATACACAGATGCATAATTAACATAAGAAAATTCAGTAGATAAATCACACACACTCTCCAACCAAGTATCCTTGTCCAACTCATCCCAAAAACAATTGAAAATTCATCTCATACAGCCTAAGAGAGTAAGCCAGAGATATTGGTATCACCATAACCCAAACTCTCTAGCCCAAGCCTTCTTAGATGTACACAAGAAGCATGTGAAAGGATCAACATGGTTAACCAGACTCCTAAAAAAAAAAACACACACACACACACACAAATAGTAAATATCAACAACTTTTGTCATAACATCAAGAAAATTAGCCAATAAGATCTCTAGAACAAAAGGGTTTGTTTGGCAATTTATTTTAAAAATAATTTTTTGTTCTTCAAAATAAAAGAATAAAAAAATTGATTTGATAGTATGTTTTTAAAAAATATTTTAGAGAACAGAAAAATAAAATATTATTTTGGAGAATAGAAAAATAAAAAAAAAACTTTCAGGTGTTTTGAAATTATTATTTTAAAAAACAAGGGAGAATGAGAAAAACATACATTTTTATTATTTTTTTATTCTCAAAACATGTTTTACAAAATATCAGTTTTCATAACAATAAAAAAAAATAATTTCAAACAGCTCCAAATTTTCTATGCAACATTACTTGGGGAAATTTTTTCTATTAAAAATGAATGAATGAACAAACTACACTAACGTCTGTTTTTTAAAATTATATTTGGGGTTTTTCTTCAAAAAGTTGCATAACTCTTCTAACATTTCAAATATATTGATATTATCTTTTTTACTGTTCACTTTGTAAGAATGAAATTAATTTTATGCACAAGGCATTGGTAAAAAGTCTTTATGGATAAAGGGATCTTCTTTTTTTAAAAAAATTATTTAAATATTAATCATCACCAATTTATATAATGAAAATTATTTGCACAAAAAAGGTAAAATATGTAAATGGATTATTTAAAAAAATAAATGATATATTTTTATATGATTATATGATTGGATCAGATTCAGGAATTGCAGTGCTGGATTGGGATTTTGAGCATCTCTATGTGGAAGACGTTTTCTTTCTGATAATTTTCAGCAAGGAATATAGATGGGCCAAATCTGATGTGGGGCCATTAACACACTTCAGCTGGTCGTTGGGCATGTGAAGGCAAAACACTAAACAGAACGCACTGAAAAACCGTTTCTTCTCCTTCCGTGTTTTGGAATCAAATCACTAAATAGTAAATACACTCGTCTCTCTTTCTCTCCCTGTCCCTCCTTCTCTCTCTCTCTCTCTCTGGTCTCGTCTATGAGCGTGTGGCGCCATGGACGACAAAGCTGGAAACCCCAATCGCAGTGGCGGCAGCATTGCGGACAATGTGTACTTGGACACCACTAAAGCTGACAAAGCCGTGTGGCTCATGAAGTGCCCGCCTCTTGTCTCTCGCTCACTCCGTTCTCCTCCTTCCGATGCCTCCGACTCTTCTCGCCCCGTTGCCAAGGTTGTCGTTTCTCTCGACCCTCTCAACTGCAATGACGATTCTTCCCCTCAGGTTATTGTTACCTTTGATCACCACCACATTCTGTGATTTCTTGCTATCCACTTATCATTCTGCGTCTGCATGCTTCGATCTTCAGACCCAATTTCTCTTTAGTTCTACATTCTCTGATTTCTAGGGTTTGATAACCTGGCATTCATTCTTAGTATCTTCTGTTTCCGTTGTTCTTTGGGAGAATTCCGTTGAAGTCCCACACAAAAAATTAATTACTGTGAGTCCATTCATAACTGAACGATTTATCAATGCAGTTTAGCTCAATTGTCAACGGACAGTAATTAATTTATCTGTGTGGGACTGGTTGTAATTCTCCCTTGTTCTTTTCCTGTTTCTGCTCTGAGTCTTTAGACTCTTTGCTCGTAATTAGATTTCCCGAATTTACTTTTTGAATAGTTTTTTCTTTTCTTTAGAAATGTTATATATTTTTTCTGGTCTTTGGACCAGGACTTGCCGTCCCCTCATTTTTATACACAGTGGACTAGTTATGTTTTTTTTTTTTTTTTCAAGTCCTTCACTTAAATATGCATGCCTAGCGTTTGTCCCCGATTAAAATATTATATTTTGATTAATAGAGTACGATAATCACAAGAATTTCTATATTCTTTTCCTAGAATGTCTGCTTGATTGTGCGAACGGAGCATGAGTACTTAGGCTCTGTAGTGTTTAGTTGCTTGGAAGAGTTAACAGAACTAAGAAGTTTATAATAATGCACGCAAGTTATGATAAATTACCGTCAACTAGTTTTATTTTGATGAGAATTAAAAAAAAAAAAACAATCATTTGTATGGTTTATCTACTTTCCCTCTTCAACTCAAATGAAATATCTGGCAGAAGTCAAGAAGTATGCTTAATATATTTCTAAATTTCCCCCCTTTTAAGTTTTTTATATTTTATTTCATGTACTGTAGGCATGATGATAATTCTAATATGATGAAGAAAATAATACAATGATTGAGCAGTATTGAGTGATTACCAAATTTGCCCTTATGGCTGCTTTACAGCAGGAAGTACATCAGTATCCTTTTTGTCAAACACGGAGAAAAGAAAGAACAGCAGGAAGGATAACATACTATTACTTGTAAAATAACTTGGACAACTTAGTTTTTTGTATCAATGATTTTGTTCAATTGCTTTGAAGGAATTTGAATTTTAGGGCTCTATTACTTGTCCCATTGATTAAGTAGGATGCTGCTTATACAGCTTCCCTGATAACATTTAGGTGCATTAATGATTTTCCTATAAAGATTGGACTACATCAGGGATCATCTCTGAGTCCTTATTTGTTCAACTTGATTTTAAATGTTTTGACGGAACATATTCAAGAGGAAATCCCGAAATGTATGCTCTTCACGGATGATATAGTTCTTATAGCAGAGACAAGAGAAGAGGTTAATTGTAAACTTGAGTTATGGAGGAGGACATTGGAGTCGAAAGGTTTTCGTCTGAGTAGAAGTAAGACGGAATATTTATATTGTAAATTTGGTAAAGGAATATTCGACAATAATTTGGAAGTGAAATTGGGAGATCAAATTATACCTCAAGTGGAAAAGTTTAGATATTTGAGAGCCATTATTCAAAATGATGGCGAAATCAGTGGAGATATTTCACATAGAATTCAAGCTGGGTGGTTTAATTGAAGAAAAGCTAAAGGAGTTATTTGTGACCGTAAGGTGCCTAATAAACTTAAAGGAAAGTTTTATCGCACTGCTATCAGACCGGCAATGTTATATAGTAGTGAATGCTGGACTCTAACGGGACAGCAAGAGCATAAAGTTGGAGTAGCAGAGATGAGAATGTTACGATGGATTTGCGGACATACACGTAAAGATAAAATTCGAAATGAGCACGTACGCGAAAAAGTGATGGTGGCACCTATTGAGGAAAAAATGGTAGAAAATCGGTTGAGATGGTTTGGGCATGTACAAAGAAGACCAAGGGAGGCACCAGTGAGAAGAGTGGAACATATAACTTTGAGTCCGATTAAGAGAGGTAGAGGAAGGCCTAAGAGAACACTCTTGGAAGTTGTTGAACGCGATCTCTTAAT